AAATTGCATCACACAAAGTTTGAAGAGTGAACAAGTTTTACTAGCTGAAAGTCAGAATCTCAGATCAGGATAATATTTTATTGACTCACAACTCAAAAGGAATTTAAGCAATTTGCTTCAAATGCTGCTGAAAGGTTCCATTCTGCCTTCTGAATAAGTGCTAAGCTTTCCAGGCCAAAACAATTTTTCAAGCCAAAATTGACAAATGCTCACCAGAGGAGCTGGTTGCTACCTTAAATCACACAGAATTACTTTTACTCCACAATAATAAAATGTGCTACTCAAACCCAATACTCCTCTTACACTGATAAGCCATGGACCATCGGGTGCTCACTAAGGTCATCTCCAACCTACTGCAAAGACAGCTGCTCCGAATGAGACACGCCATGGGTGAGAGATCAGAAAACCAATTAAAAGCTCTTTGAACAGCAATAGCTTGGAACAAATACTAATTTGTACTTCTCTTCTGAGAAGTGAATATAAAATAGCATTTCTAGTGCCATTTGATGTAAATTGAGCCTTTTATGTGGAATCATTACAAGTATCAGCAGCTACTTCTGCAAATTCCACTGGGAAGCCAAGTAGGGGTCTCTTCTAACAATTTAGAATAGTGGGTCTCTTCTAACAATTTAGAATAGTCAGGGGCCCTCAGGGATGAATTTGGAGCTCGCCTTTAAGGAGAGATATCACCAGCATTGCTCTTGGACAAACGAACAGGATTCTGTCCTTCTGCCAGATAATGGGGGAGGTGGAAATCAAGTTCTCCTAGCAGGGGTGAACTTGTCTCACTTTATCATGGCCTTGACAACAGATGAGAAGGATTTGAGTCCACCACCCTTTGCCAAGGCTGAACTGACCCTGCAGCAGAAGCCAAATGAAACAATTATTTCTTCAGACCAGGCACTGAAGCATGGGCAGGAGCTGACTCTGAGACAGCAAGCTACCAGCTTTCAGTGTCAGAGAGGCACTCAGACACCTGGCTCCTAAACAGGTCTGACCTGTGCCAGGCTCCACACTGCCCAGTGGCATGGCAGAGGGCATGTTTTTGGAAAGCACTGCTCCTGCCTGGTTACTGCAGTACCATGGCATGTTCTCAGATACCCTGGAGAACTGTCAGCTGCAATGAATGCACAATAAAATCATCCAATTTATTGAAATTGCCTGGAAGATTAATGCGAGGATTGCCCTCCTCTTTGTACTTGGCTTTCCTCATCTGTGGGAGTACCTATTTGTGCTTGAGATAGAGAAATATATAAAGCATAAGGAAAAAAAAAAAAAAACAAAAAAAAAACCTCCAAAGCAGCCAATTAACCTTTGAAATACAAGTTGTGCTGATGCTAACTAACAGCATCCTGTAACTTCCTAATTACTAGCCTTGTACAACCTGGCAGTTGGAGATGGTGCTGGCTGTTAACCGGGCGGATGCACTGTGCGGGAGGATCCGATTGCTGCTAATGACTGATGTCCCAGAGAAACTCGCCTGCCTTCATCAGCTGCCTCCTGCTACCCAGACCTCCTGCCACACACTGGCTGCACTGCCATATAATCCTCAAGTCTGGCTCCAGGAAGAGCTGCCTGCTAAAGGACAGCTCTGTGCAAAGCTGCTCCTCTTCCTCCCCATGAATTCTCTGCTGCTATCTCACTTGTGCCTCGAGCCACAGGACAGGATCCTCACCTAAGAGAGTATTATAAAAGGGCTGCATGCATTAAATGGGGGTGGTGCCAGCTGTGTTAGCCAAGAGCAGGCAGAGTAATTGTGCAAGCAGACTGCTGGGAGCTTCAGACTCCCATAAAAATGCACATTCAAACCTTGAAGGAATTTGGATATGGACAGGTCTCTCAGGGGCTGCTGCAGTGCAGACAGAGAACAGCTAAAGCTGTTGTGACACAGGCACTACACCTCACCCTGCAGCTACTATGAGAGCCAGCAGGAAAGTGATGAGAACCATCAGGTTTTTCCTCCAGCCTGGCACCTTGTAACCTTGATTCCCTCCATCAAGAAGGGAGGGACAACAATATTGCTTGCTTGCCTCAAGAGGGCTCCATGCGACTTCTCTGCAAAGTGCTGTCATGTCCCAGGATGGGAGGTAAGATAATGCTCTGAGGATTGGTACTGCTCTCTCTTCCATGCTATATGTTGTTCAGTGCCCTCCACCCAGGCCACATGCACAGGACTGATGCCTTGACTTGAAACATCACTCAGCTAAAAAGGCATGCAGTGCACCCATCTATTTGCAAAGTCACTGATGTCTGTATGAAGTCTGAGAAGCCAGAAAGGAAAAGGAAGCAGTTGTTAATGAGTTTTTTTAAAGGGACTGTGCATTTCCTTACAGTTGGGGAGGGCTTTCCTGTGGCTGTTGCATTGATTGCAGCCCAGTTTAATAAAGCCAGATAATGACTGTTCAGTAAAACAAATGGCAAGAATCAGAACCAGGGAACTTGCTTAAGCTGCTCTACGCAGAACAAATGTCTCCATGGTAGATGATGTTTTGCAGGGCTTCAGAGCCTCCTGTCCTTGCTGAGAGGACAAGAGGCTTCCCCAGAGCAAGCCCCTGAATGTGCCTTACTGGTATCACTGAACAGCCCAGGGGAGCAAAGAAAGAGGAGAGCCAGGAGGACAGTAGAGGGTAGCTTGCCTCGTCGACAGGCTCCTAAACCCCTGGGGGAATGGCCTCCAGGTTTGCCCTTTGGAGAATGGAGAAGGAGATGATGGAAATGCCTGTGTCTGGCTAACTGGACAATGCTCACACCTTCACACCTTCTAATATCTGCCCTAAGCAGAGGTATGGAGCACCATGGCAGCATCCCTCAATCACCAACCAGAAAGCAATAATTAAACTTTAACCTGGCACGAAGCATTCTACACCAAAACAAGCCCCTTTTTTTTTTTTTTTTTTTTTAAATCTTCCTGCCCCCCTTTTCCAACACCACCCTGCAGGCTGATGACAGCTTTGCTCAGGCATCTTCTCCTTAACTTCCCAAAAAGCCAGCCTTTACCTCAAGCCTCACAACCAATTCTCACACCAGCAGAACTGAGGGCTCTGAAATCACCCTGCTTTGCTTGCAGAAGCCCCAGACTTTTGTGCCAGGCAGTTCGGGAGCTCAGAGCCATTTTCTGCTGCTTTCACTCTGCTGATGGGAGAGGTGCATCAAGCCTGGGTTCTGACAGCTCTGCAGCTCATTATTCCTGCTGGGCACCAGCGACACATTGCAGACAAGCACGTGGAGAAACTTTTACAGGTTTCACTTCAAAATTTCCCCCTTTTTATTGGACCCAAGCTGGGCAGTGCCTGCGAGCAAAGCTGGCACGAGCCTGATGCTCCCTAGCCAAAAGCCTCAGAATCTTTATTGCCATAGGTTTTGAAATGGCTTAAAGCAAATGTTTTACAAGGTAAGATCCCATAAAAATCGGCCGGCTAGAGTTTTCCTTCATTAGCAGCAAGGACGTAATTATTGCAATTTGCCTCTGTACAAGTGACTGTGGACAGACTCCATGTGATCCCCAGGCTTTCTCTGTGCAGCCTGCCTAAAGCTTTCCCCAAGCACCCATCACAGCAATACCCAAGGACTGACAAATGTGTATCCACCTGACAAAAGAGTATCCATGCAGAAATGCAGCTGCTGTGAGGAATGAATGGTTTATTCAAAGGTGACTGACAAGGTGTACTTCCTAATTTTAAAACTTGTGGAACAACTAAGCAGACAGAAAGCTGACAGTGACAGCTATTGCTTTGTTGAGTTTGGACTCTTTCTGCTGTAAGCGTGAACTAATTTACTGTTGCACAGCTGAGGTTCATGTGTTTCAGCTGAGTACTTGCTTTTCTGAAAGAAAATATGCCTCAGACAGCAGAGTATGGCATATGGTCATTCAAAACACCTAAGCAGGAAGAGAATAGAGGAGTAACACTTTGGAGGACTGTTTGCCACAGTCCTGAAAAGAACTGAATTCTGGAAAGTGATGGAGAAGAAAATGCAGAGCATCCTGCCTTTGGGTGTACCATGCTACTGTCTGCCCTTCCTCCTCACTTCGGGGCAGACGGTGGCAGAGAGGGGGAACAGCTTTATAGATACTGTCTTGTTCTTTATTCTGCAGGGGAAACCTGGGGGAACACCAGATGAACCTCCAACCAGAAAATCAGTATGAGGATCTGCTGGCCTTGCTGAGGATATTTTCAACACCCAACGCACAGGCAGCACGAGAAACTCCAGAGCACGTCTTCAGGAAACAGCTGAAAGCAACCATTTCTTCCTGAGACAGAAAAGCATAGCCTTCCCCAGAGTGACCAGCTGAAGACATCAGATGACTCACCTCCATCTCCCATCACACAGCCCTGTGGCTCCCACCAGCCAGCAAGGACAAGCTGTCCTCAGCTGCCAGCACTGCTTTCTGCCATCACCACGTTCACACTAATACTGGGAACAGCATGATTTCTCTTTCCTCCCTCCAAGCACTTAAATGAAAGATCTACTTTGCACCCTATGAGATCAAATTAAACATGTTGGAGCCTTCAGGGTGGAACTCACTTTTTTTTTTTTTTCCCCCCCATTGCTTTTAGTCTGACAGCTGAAGTTCTTATTTAAAGGTCAAAGATCCTTCTGGGTGGGTTGAGGTGGAGCTCCTGGGAGGGGCAGCTTCGTACCCACACACCACCAGCACAGACCAAAGGGGCATTTCCACCAGAACAACTCGTGCTCCTATGAATAATTCACAGCAGATAACTCACACTCAGCCCCTGAGCTGCCCGGCCCTAGCACATGCATTTCAACTCAGCACCTCAGTAGTACTGACAACCACCTTCCAGGCTTTCCACACACGTGAAAATACTTCTGCTTCATACACGCCATCAGGATCAGGCCTCAGTCCCACCTGGCGTTGACAACTTGCACAAAACCCACTCTCCAACATGGCTTTGTCACAGCCATCCCATGCCACAAAGCTGTCACACCACGAGCACCCAGCACAGCAAACCCTGCAGGATGCTGAGGCCAGCCGCACTCACCTGCTCGTGGTACTCGATGCCCATGCTCAGCGTGTTGATGAGGATCGCGATCATGATCCCTCGGTTGAAGTACTTGCTCTCCACGATCCTCTTCAGCTTGCTGCCGAATGCCTTCCACAGGCGGGTGACCTTGTTCCTCTCCTTGGGTTTCTTTTTCTTCCTCTTCCTCCTGCCCCGCTGTTGCTGCAGCTGGTCCCTGTGGTCGCCGTGCCGCAGGTCCTGGGTGAACTCATAGATGCCGTTGCTGTCGGAGTCGCAGCTGTCGGACTCACTGAAGGCAAACTCGGGGTCCTCCAGGAGGCTGGCGCAGAAAGGGCAGTCCTGCAGCTCGCAGCTCAGCGTGCCGCCCGGCGGGCTGGGCAGTGGGCAGGCCACACTCAGCCCCGACAGCCGGCTGGGAGTCCTCCGCAGACCTGCAATGGGAGAGCGCACCGTGAGCTCCTTGCACCCATGGCCTCCCCGCAGCATGGCGGCCGTGCCCTCTGCACCCCCACATGGGGACAGAAGTGGCTTCTGCTACATCCTTGAATAAAGTCTTGCAGTACTCCATCTTACCAAGCGGCTCTCGATCTGCCTTATTTTTCCCTCTGTTCTGCTCTCCAATCCCCAACACCCACCCTTCAACCCCGTCTCAGGGCTGAGGGACTTCTCCTTGCAGTCCTTGCAGTGTGATGGCCATTTTGTGCTCTGCTGCTTGGGAAGGACTGACCCACATATCTCTCACTTTCAATTATTTTTGATTATATCTGACCAAGTTAGCATCATTAGCGGTGATCTGAGTGCTATCAAGCTGTTACACCCAATTTAGGTAGTGCTTCCATTTAGATAATAATGAGGAGGGAGAGGGAGAAATGAGCCAAAGATGGTTACAGACCATGGATCAGTTTGGAGTCACGTAGTCCCTTTGCTCTCCTTCATCCCTCCTTCAGCTTTTAGTAAAGCTCAGGTGTATTCTTTACTTGAGGCACAGGACTGAGCGTTCAGGGTGTTCTAAAATCAAATACATCACCACATGTTTTGTGGTGTGAGGAGAAACGCTGGCTGTCCTCATGGGGCTGGGGCACAGTGATGACGTGGGCAGGCATCATGAGGATGAGTCAGGTGGAAAAGAAATCAGATTTTGTTTCCTCCCATTCAGGAACCAAATCCCCAATTTCCTCATATTTAGCAACTAGATACTAATGGCAGAAAAAAAAAAAAAAGCCAAGAGGAATCAACATACACTTTTCTTGATGGAAAACAAGGTGCAAATGCCACTTTTCTGCTGGGACATGCTCCTTCCTGGAGATTGGAGGGGGTACACATGGATGCATTTCAGGGAGACCATGCAAAAAGCACCGAGCGGATGCTCCTGGCCGTGGTCCCAGGAGCTTGGAGCTCACCCAGCAGTAATGCTGCTGATTTCAGCCACTCCTGGCTGACACTTGAGGACGTCTTCAAAGAGAAGGCAGCAGCCCACAAAATCCAGCACCCTGTTAGACTGAAAGCTGGGTGGTGACAAAAGTCAGAATATATTTTACTTGCCTGAATGTCACTCAGATATTAGTGGCCTTCAAAATAGTCTCGTAGGAGAGGGCAGACCTCCTCCTGGTCTTTACATTGCAGACACCAGGCAGATCAGAAATATTTGCCCCCCTGTTCAGCCTGGGAGCAGCACTGGTCAGCGCTGCACATCAGCAAGGCATTTCTGACTGGGATTGGTCAGATGAGGAAACACTGCAGCATGGACCCATCAGCATGGATACAGAGGCAGTGGGCTTGCCAGTCATCCTGTATGCTATCAAAGTGTTAAAAATTGTATGAAAAACACTGGCGCCACAGATGTCTTCAAAATACCAGAGTCTCCTTGGCTGCCTGCTAAAATAACCTCACAGCATTGCAGGGCACGAGAATGCAGAGGAACAGGCTGTACTTTATGCTGCTCAATTCCACAACAAAAGAAGGGAAGAGAATACTCTCTCCCACAATTGCATCTTTCCCAGCGGACACCAACCTTGCTTCCAGCTGGGTTTCAGAGTGCCCTGGCTGCTAATAACTCCTTAATGTACTCAGTTGTCAATTGTGTGCTCCCCTTGCACAAATCTTGCAGCGAACAGACTCTGCTGGTCGACTTGTAAGAGTGGGGAGAGAACAGCCCTTTGCTCAAAGAGGTGGGAGGTCAGAAGGGTTAGGCACAGCTTGCGAGCCCAAGTCACCTTCCCTGCCTGGCATAGGGACTTAGCATGGCTGCTTTGCTAAGTTCAGGCAGGGATGGAGAACCATGAGTTGAGCTAAGATGTTTGGCACCTAAAGATCCTCCCAAAGCCTGGAAGACAGTCTATCATTCACACTGCACAAAAAGGGATGTGGTGCAGTGGTGAATCTGACTCAGGCCTGTGGCAGGTGCAGGAAGGAGAACCTGGAAAGAGCTGGAGTTGTGGAAGTGAAGAGCTGGGCATTTGTACACTGAGATCTCCAGATGGATGTGGCCGGCTTGCTTCCTCTCCCAGCCCCTGTGCTGCCCACGATGCTAGATCAGCTGCTGCAACCACCACCCGCTTCCTCTGCACATAATCACACTTGAAACAAAACAATCTCAGATTTGTTTAAAGCACTGAGGTGTCCTCTGGGCTGAAATGTCCCATCAAAAGAAGATATTACAGCTCCATTATTAATAGCAACTCCATCTAACCTCAGGCCTTTGAAGAACCATCAGAGGCCACGTGAAAATCTGCAAATTCAACGGAGTGGCCCCGGAGTGTTGCAGGCTTAGCTGAGACGTGGAGATTCGTTCTCCTGGAGGGAGCCTCAGCAGCAGATCCTCTTGTGAGCACAGAGGACCAAATCTCTGAGTTGAGCACTGCCTTTTGCAACAGCTCTTCTGCTCGTCCTTGGTTTCCCAGCTCCAGACTTCTGTGAGCCTGGACTTTTATCTCAAGGTAAATACACATTCTCATAATAACCTTCATTAACTTCCATAGTTAAAGATGTACCAGTGATTCATATAAAACCCTTGCTTAACAACGGAAGAACATTGGAACTAACCTTGGCCCTTCTGCCCTTCTGCTAAGCTCCAAAAGTACAGAAATATCTGCCGAAGGCAATTTCTATAAACAATCCACTTTACCCTTTTGTATGGTCACTTAAAAAAAAAATATTAACAAAGACAAGCCAACCAACCTATTTGGCAAGCAACCTTTACTGTGACCTCCCCCAAGCGAGGCTTGGTATTTTTTCAGCACATACATCAGTAGGACAAATATTTGTGTCCATGCATAAGCAGATAAACGGTTTTGGAAAACACAGGCATTGATAAAAACAGATGATGAGTTTGTGTTAAAGATATAAAAAATAAAAATGGAAGCTAGATCTTCTTGACTTTTTGAGGGCTTAAGACTATTTTTCAGGCTTTGACTCCAGCTTTGTTGAGAACCAGAGAAAATATGCAAAACTGGAGAAAATATGCAAAACAGAAACCTAAGAATTGCACATAATCACTACTCCAGCAGTGGATGATTTATATCAGAGTGGAGATAAAGCTGCATTAACTAGCAGTGCTATTGTGGCTGCAGTCTGTAGAGATAAGGATGGGACAGAGGTACAAAAGAGTCCCTAACATGTTTTTTATTCACTCAGACTGAATGGATCTCCAAATCTGCAGTAACACTCAGTCCTACATTTCTTCTACACTGGTGAAAAAGAAGAGGGGAAGCCTGAGAGCTGCAGATCTGCTGTGCTCCTGCTCTCACATGCATCCTTTCAGGATTAACACAGAGCTAGACTTTGCAGTGTCCACAAGCCTACCTCCAAACCTTCTCCTCCTCCTTTCAAAAAGAAACCTTGGGCCTCAGAGCCCATCAAAGCAGCACCAAGGGGTGTCTGGAAGTATCTGCTGTGGGTTATTTCAATGCCTCCCTGTTTCACACATCTTATGTCTCCTATACCTCATGCTCTCCCACCAGCTTCCACACGCTATTCCTTTTCAAGACACTTTTTCAACTCCAGGGGCTGCACTGATCTGTGCTTGGGTGGGAGCAGAGAGAGAACATTCAGGATATCACAAAGCACAAAGAAAAGCTCAAAAATACATGCTTTGTAACCACGGAAAGGGGCCTGAAGTCACTGCCTACATCATCCTATACTGTGCTTTACCCAATGACAGCAAATGCAAGGCTAGGAGGAACAGAGCTGTCAGTCTCTCAACCTGTCCTACTTCTGGCTTCTGTGATCACCTCAAATAGCATTCACAAAACAGCTTTCATCTCCAGCAACCTCCTTGGCTATCCTTAACATCTCTCTTGAGCAATCTGCCCTTTGCCCCTTTCCCCAAGCAAAAAAACATCAGCTCATCTGTCCTTACCATGCTCTCCTACCAGTTGCTGCAGCTTCCCATAAGAATCCGTGCCCAAAGTGACAGGGCTATTAACTACAGCCACAGGTGAATTGCCATTCTTCTTTCCTTTGGGAACTGGGACAGAACTGGCTTTGCTCGTTGGTGAAGGCAGGATGGTAGGATAATTCATGTTGCCATGGTTGGAGAGTCCAGTAGTGAGCTTAATGCTTGCAGGGGCATTGGAAGACTTACAGTTCACTTGTGGTCCTTCAACGTGACAGTCTGCGTGGTAAATGCTATGCACAGACTCCGAGTCTGGAGGAGGAGCGGGACTCTGCAAGTTGGGTGATGGAGAAGGGAGCATCAGCTGCCCACCAGGCTTCATCACCTTGAGTTCCAGGTCGCAGATCTCCGGGTTGGAGCGTGGCCCCCGTGGGCTCCCATTGCTGATGTGGTAGTGGTGGTGATGGTGGTGATGGTGGTGGTGGATGAGGTGGTGAATGGAGGTGATGCGCCTTTTGCTTCGGCGGCTCTGCCCGTTTGTGGTGTTGTTTGGGTTAACTTTTTTCCTGCGCTTGCTCTGCCAGTTATTGTACAGGCGTATTGTCCGCCGTTTCACCTTCCTGAAGATGTGGCAGATGTACTTCAGCAGCTCCTCGTAGCAGCTACCTGGCTCTGAGAAGCTGGCAATTGTGCTGTCATTGGAGAGATAACGGGCCCGCTGCTCCTGCATCAGCTGGTTCTCCCGCTGCTTTGTTTCAGAAAACTGTGTTGCTATCACAACCAGGCACAAGTTAATCATGAAGAAGGAACCAACCTGGAGAAAACAAAAGGAATTAGCAGGGACTTTACAAAGCAACACATGCTGTCCGAGCTGGAAGTATTGTTCTCAGAAATCTTGTGATTTCCAAATGTGCCAAATCTCAGGGTCTGCTCACCAAATGTTATGTCAACATGAGCCTAAGCTGCTAAATTTGTTCCTAAACCTCGGTAAATTATTTTGGCAGTGGCAAAGAAAGCTGTTAACAATAGCCTTCACCACTTTCCTCCTCTCAGCAGTGATGACATTTGCCACTAATGCAGGGTGCATGAAACACAATATAATCAGTCACTACAGCAAAACAGATCACTAGGAAGCACCCAGCCAATCTGCAAGAAAAGATGGTCTGAAGTTCAATCTGTGCTGAACTGAGACTGTCTCTCCTCTCCCTCTATCACTTCACACCCCGCATAGGGCATCCTCCTTTCAAGGAGGACAATCAGGGTTCATGTTTCTGACATGGAGAAACTCATCTCTAGGAGATCTGGTGCTCCTAGAAGGGCCTGATTTACTGTCTGGTTGAACTGATGAATTCTTAGGTGACAGCAGGCTGTCAAAATGAAGTTCCAAGGACAAGAATGTGAAGTGACCTAGGACTACATCCCTCCCCTCAGCTGGTGAGTCCACTAACCGGCTTTTCATCACTTGAGTTCGTAAATCAGCCAAAGGAAAATGTCAAATATTCCCCTTAGAGAATCACTCCCCTTACATGTGAAAGGGACTGACGTCAAGAAAGTGCCAGGGCTTACATGGCCAAACCTCTGTGCTGGGCTTGGTAGAGAATGCATGGATTTAATCTAGGCCATTGTTTGGTGAAAATCTCAGGGGAAGCCAATGGGAGTGCTATTCTCCAGTCTGTAATACCAGCCTGGAGAGCGCTTCAGAAGCAGCAAGGGTGCCCACCCCAACTCCCAGTGACCTGGGGGATAGTCAGATGGCTTCTCTGCAAGGATCCATATGAAGAAAAGAACTCAAAAGAGTGGAATGTAAATCTCCATTATGCATGGCCCATTGCTAAAGGCTCAAACATCACCAGCTTCAGAATGCTATATCCATTACTGGCAGTCTCTCACACTGCAGTTGAGTCAGCTGTGGTGGTCTGATTTCCAAAGGCCTTCAAAACCACAGAGGCAAGGACGGAGCTCTATGTAAAGAATATTCAGTCATAAAAACACTTGGAAATGCCCCTACCCCATGTCCTACTTGACATCTACATGAAACTTGTTCCTTGCACTCCTCCTGACTTAAATGTCTCTTTTCCACAGATGTAGACCCCTGGGGAAGGTTGTGCCCTTTATAAAACAGAAAAAGAGCCTTGCCAATGTAGGGTAGCAGCTTCTGAGAACAACCTCAAGCTCCTTCAATGAATAACACTTTGTTTCTAGAAATGACAGCAGTGTAAGACCTCAGAAAGTTGTAATGCTATTATTACCCTTGTTTAAAAGGCTCATGTGAAGTTCAGCAGCTCTTTTGAGTGCTCTTCATTGATATAAGCTGCCCTCTGGCATGCTGAGGAATCTAAAGGAAGAAAAGCTGTATCTTCTCTACTTTTTGTTCTGATTAGCAGTTGCTTGGCCAAGGCACAATCATTAGGACATACCAAGGTGACAAGTCCAAGACTGGTAGACTATGAAGGAAGGAAGACCATATGGCTTAACAAGCTGTGACTATCACATGTGACACTAAAAAGGACAGAGCCAATAACCTGTCCCTAAGCACTAATCACAACCTGCATTGTTAGACTTTAAGGTGGGAGGAAGTTCTCCCATCCCAAATCCCAGCTGGCTCTCCTCTGTGAAAAGGGAACACCTTTACCCCACAAGGACAAGGAATAGGAGCATTTCACAGTTCATACTTACTATTATAAGCAATATAAAATATATAAAATTGTAAAAAGAATGTGCATCCATCACATAATACATGATGTCAACCCATCCTTCCAGGGTTATAACCTACAGGAAGACAGAGAAAGAAAGCGTGAGAACAAGAGTCAGTCAGTAAACATCAGTATTCTGCTACTCATCACTCCTTAGCATCTCTCAGGATCTACCCAGACCTGCTGCACTTCTATTCCCAGTTGACTCAGGATAAACCAAAGGACAGTCTTGAGGTTTCTACAGAGATTTGGCACAGTAAAAATGATAAAACAATACAATAAAACATCTGAAACGCTGGTTCAGAGCCAGTGCAAATAAATCCCAAGGAAGGGTTACAAACAAAGCAGAAGTCTCTCTGTGCAGAGATCCGGGCCTCTACCTCAGCTCCAGGCTGTGTAACACTACCTGTAAAACTCCTAAGGCTTTAAGCCAAATTTGTTTCAGCAGAACTGGTCTCTTTGTGATACCTACTGTCTCACCACTACACCTGCATGGCAAGCATCGTAGTGGCAAAGCATCTGAATGGAAAAGAGTTACTTTAATTAAACGGAGAACTGAGTTCATAGTTGTTTTCTCAATCTTCCTTCTCCTAAAGAAGAAGCTGAGGATTTAATTAACACCACACAGACTGTGTGCAGAGCAAAGCGAGTGCTGCCATGTAATTTACACTTTTTATTTAGATAAAACATACCGAACTTCTAGTGTCGCCTTGCTAGTGGTGCTAGAGCTGAAATTCCAGCACAACTTCCAATAAAATCAAAGCTCCTTCTGAATGCACTTGCACTGATGTACCCGTAGCACAAAACCCAGAATTACCTGCAGCCTCCAATTTCAGTGGCATCATTTCCAAGTTTAACTATGCTCAAAATGATGGAACTGAAATATCAGTCTGCTTCGTCACTGTGTGTAAATTAGTTTGTTGGGAACAAGGAAAGGATCAAGCCTGAGCAGTACAGATGGCTGTCTATATGGACAGCACAGAAAAGCAGGCTAACAAAGCACTTGTCAAAGCAGTGAATAAACAAGACTCTCTTCACACCTGGAGCATCAGGACAAAATGTTTTCAGGGAAGTCAGACATGAATTCTTGCCACTTTTCTCCCCTTTTTGTTTGTTTGTTTGTTCCTGGCAGAGCTGCAAGAAACTCCTTGGTATGGGTCTTTGGGATATGACCACATCTGCAAAAGGGAGAGCACTGCTGTGCTCACAACCATCAGTCCCCACAGCCTGCCTGAGACTGTTAAAGCTCATGAATGCTGGAAGAGAGAGATATTACTCACCCCTGATTCCTCTCACCTTAACGTCAATGCAGTGACGACTTACCAGAAACTTTTCAAACCCAGTTCCTGTGTTGCTGCACACCCACCCACTGTGCAGTGGGGTGAGAAGGAGGCATCCCCACTGCTCAAACCCCTCTGCAGTCAGCCTGCAGCCAGTCCCACACTAACCAATAGAGGTCACCTGCCAAGGAGCAAGGTACAGATTGTCTCTGTGGCTGTTATACTCTGTCAGCAGCGCTAAAGCCTTGGAGCAGTCAGGTCTGATGACGTGTTAGCTGCATTTACACAAATTGCATCCACCTTTCCTGGTCCCCATTACACGCATTAGATAAAAATCACATCCTTGTACAGGTATCAGAGAGCAATGCTGAGCTCTGGTGCCATGGATTTAACAAAAAAAAAAAAAAAAAAAAAAGAGAATACTCTTGGTCAACGTGAATCCCAGAGATTGAGCTCTGATAGGAAGCATTCAGCAACAGACACACTTGTGTGTGGATGCAAGGGCTGCTACTCACCCTGACTGTGAGAATGGGCTAAGCTGTCTGGGCAGACACTGGCAGTAATCAGTCTGTTCAGTGGTGTGAAACAGACAAGCAATCAAACTCAAACTGCCCTTTCCTATCTTTCATTTAACACAGTTGAAATTGAGAGCAGAGTTCTTTCCAGCCCCATCCCTCGCATGCATGGCAGCAAAGCATCCCCACGCAGTGCGTGTGCAAGCTGATGAGGAAAACGGAAGGATTCTATTGGGACGCAATGTAAGCCAAATCACTGCCAGCTATACAAGAAACTCCTCTGTGCTGTTCAAAGTCCCCCCCTTCTACCCCCTTTCTCCTCAGCTACAGGGGCATTTCAGCACAGCTGCCATAGCAGGTGCTCCGGCCATTTACACTCAGGGATGAAAAACAAGCCCAGGGACTCCAAACATATCAGATACACCTCTGCTGAATTCACATTTGGCTGGCAATCCTCAAACCAAATGTATTAAACCAATAAAACATAGCCCTCTCTACAAAAGGAGTTACCTGAGGGCTGCCGTTGGGCTTCTGCAGGCACTGCCAGCTCCCACCTGGGAACAGCTGCCAAGAGAAGCGTGAGAGCCAACCCAACATTTATCGAAGTATTTTTCTTGCATGCTAGACAGCAATTGCAGCAAGAATCAATCAACGTGCCACATTTCTCCTCTGGAGGGCTCATCCAGCTTTCAGAATATTTAAGATGTAATTAGAATTTGCATTATTTACTACTCACTTGTAAACCAAGTGGGACACAGGAGGAATAAACAGACCGCTGGGCTTTTGTTCTCCTGTTTGACATCACCGTGGATTCATTCCTGGACTCATCACCCCGTATAAATGCAGCAGTACCTAGGGGAGGATTCCCGAGCTGCCGAGGATTACAGAGTACTAGCAACCCTGTAAGAGAGCGTGCTCACAGACATCTGCCTTCTTTTTTTAATCAAATAGCTCTGGAGAAATGCAGGACAACACACATGCATGGCCACCTGTCTGGACTGAAAGAGTTTCTATGACTTTTATAGCCTGATTCTTGCCATGCTGAGGACTTCTTTCATGCTGCCCTTTAAAGGGCTCCCAATGACTTTACACGTGCGTTTCTATCTGCTCCACGACCCCACTGCATACACTAAGCAAGGCCTTGGTGTAAATGGGAACCTGACCATTTGAATCAGCCAACAGCTGGTCTATCCACCACAAACTAAATTCCTTAACTATTTTTGGAACCAAGACAGAGGCATCTGCACTGGTGCAAGGTTCACTGCTGCGGCACAGACTTTGATCCTACACATTTCATTCTCAGACCAGATGAATTCAAAGGGAAAGCTAACAACTCCTTCTATTCTCTCAAGAATTCCAAGAACACTGATACATTTTTTTCAGTACTGCGTGGACTACTGTTGCTCCCTTGGAGCCTCCTGAATGCAATACCACCTACTTTTCTAAGCAGAAATGACTTCTTCCACTCTGCAGTTTCCAATCTGATTAAGCCACTTGATGGCAACTCCAGTATTTGGCCCTCCAAGCTCTTGATAGATGTTTTCTGAGGACCTGGAGCACCTTTCCTATGCTTTCCAATCTCAGCAATCCATTCTCAGTAATGAAATTATGACTAAGCCATGGTTGCTCGCAGACAGACGTATAAAGCAGCCCCTCCAAATGCACCAGTTCAAAACTACCAATAAACGCAACATGCAATCATTTATCAACAGAGATAAGAAGGCAAAAAACACGCTTTCTAATTCTGCCCTGATGAAAAAGATGTGCAAGATACGTGGCACACTAAAATCATCAGCTGTAGGGAAACAACCGAAAGATTCAATTAAGATGATTGGCAAGGTTGCCCTCGGGAGTGCTGCCAACTGCATTTGCATGCAGCAGACCTGGAGGGAAAGCAGACATTGCCCCCTTTGCACAGGGAATGGATTTTGGCCTCCAGAGGATTGAGGCTCTGGCCAGAGAATAGAGCCATCACCGAACCTCTGGCAGATCCTGTGTGATGCTCAGTGCAGTCCTCACACAACATGGCAGGGATAGGATATGTTATTTTTCTTCCATTAATACCTTCGAGGCAAAGCACTAAAGCCCTGAATGTTGTGTCAGAGCCTCTCTCACACATGTGCAAGGATTTAAGCTCACTGAGGTGAATGGAAAGACAGATTTTGACTTCATCGATCTTCAGCTCCTCCATGCACTTCCCAGTCTGGCATTTCCCCATCACCACATTCAGATGGACAGCAGGAGAGTGGATAGTTGGAATTTATTTTTAAGTCTCCTGCTCTGTGATTCTGCTCCTCTCGGTTTGCTCATACCACAATAATCTCATCAGCTCTCACAAAGATGCTCATCTGATTTATAGCAGCATAACTGGGGACAAAATCTAGTCAAGCTAATCAGAATCAATGTGATACTCCAGAGTGAAAATCACAAGGGAGATGTAGATTAAAGACACTGGCAATTAACTCAGACCTCCTCATTGTTCCCAGGGAGACAGAAAGTTTACATTGTTTTTTTTCCTAGGGTCACATGAAAGGTCTCTGCAGAACAATTTCTTTTATTATCCCAAGGAGTTTTCACCATAAAAATCCCTGTCCTTGTGCTCTGCCAACATTTTTTGCAAGTTCTTGGCTGTAATCCATTGAAGAGCAGGTTATTTTTTGCTTTAGTGTCAGTTAAGAAAAAGGAAAAAATAATAAAAAAAATAATTACCCAGGGAAGGGAAAAACCACACCAAAACACCCAAACTTCAATCTAGACTCCTCCAATTAGCAAAGGCAAACACTGAACTCTTTTCTGTATATTAGAAAGCACCCATGGCTATTGCCAGATGGACTGCTGCAGACAAACCAACCTCGAGGTGCCACCGATCAGCTGAAGGAAGTTAGGAAGATTGTTGTGATTCTTAGAACTGAAGGTAGAGCGTACAGAACTCCAAGCTAGCCCAGAGGCCGGACCTCTCTTATGGTAGGGTTTCACTTCTGTGATTATCCGAACCAGCTTCACGTGTAGAAACAGCCTCCTTAAGCACAGGAACCAAAATCAGCACATTGCACTTTGATCAACCCCCATCAAACACCCTAGGTTGATTTCGGAATTGCAGCTGCTTGTTCAGCTCAGCACCCGACTGGAGCAGGAGGTGACAGATAGAGAAACTCAAATGTTTCCAAAGCATTGGAAGTGTTCATCTTCATTCATATAAACAATTTGCACTTAGCCTTTTTTTTTTTTTTTTTTTTTGGCCTATACAAGGTCCTTTGGGGACAAGATGGTCATTATCTGCA